CAGAAATGATTAGATAAATGGGTTTAGGTTAGACACTTCCCTTGTTTATGTTGACAGCGTGTTGATGATGGAAGAACACTAATTTGATCTCCATAACACTTGGTCCAAGAGAATTTATAGGAGCTGAATTTGCTCCCCAGCGCCTCTGTTTTTAACAAACAATGGCTGACCTCTGTGAGGGATCTAGATCCCTCAGCTAGTTTTCCTAGTTTCTAGATTAGGCTAGTCACTCTAGAAACGGAAGCTTTCAAAATAACATATACTTGTTGGGTGTTGAATGAAAGCTTATGTTATGGGCTATCATTTGTGAGTAGTTAGAGGTCTGTGATTGCTCTGTAGAGAGAATTACAGAAATTTTCCTGTTTCTGTGAAATAGGACGAGGAGGTACTTGACTAAAACCGTTAGAGGTGGGGGGAGAGTGGAGTAAACGTTGCCCCCCCCCCATGGGAGATATCACGCCACTGTCTTTAGGCCTCTCCCTCCTTGTGACGTCACAGGACGCTCGAGGGTGAGTGAGCCTGATTGGTTTAGGCATGAGGGAGCCGTGCCGGCTCCAAGCTGATTGGTCAAGACAAAGTAGGGAGGAGGTATGGGTATTTGAGTTTCCCTGCCGCCAGGGAGTGAGTTTGAATTGGGCGGCCAGGGGAGGAAGAAGTGTCTGGTGGAGGTGGCGGGCTGGCCACCTCCACCTCCCGTTAATCGCTTCTGTCGTCCAAATTACTCATCGAATATGGCACTCCTGCCATCAGGGGTTGTGTCAAGGCCCAATTAGGTGAATTGGGGCCAAGGATTTACGGAAGGAACAGTAAAAAGCTAAAGAGACAGTTGACTGTGTCCACACATGAGGCGGCTGGCAGAGCCTCATGGTGTAACAGGTGGGTCGAGTATCCTGTCTAGTAGCAGTGGACAATTGGTGTTGGGCAGTGTAAGTGAGTGTGATATTACAGGCCCATGTTGGACTTTGCATTCCGCCAGGCTGCGTCAGTGTGGGGACGCCGCTGGCCATTGTCACCCCCAGCCGCGTGGGTACTCCTGTGGGCGGCAGCCTGCCAGCCTGAGGCACCCATGTGCGTGCCCGCCGCGGCCACCCGCGCCACCCACCTTGGCCAGCTGCTTGGGGGGGGGGGGGGGCCACCCACCCAGGCCACCCGCGCGGCCAATCCCCACCCCACCCCACCCCGCGCGCCCTCTCAGCCCGGGTCGGGTGCTATGACGTCATGCGCCACCCGTGGCCACCCCCTTAGGGCCACGCGGTGGCCACATGCCTTGGCCACTTTCCCGGGACAGCCTAGGGACAGCCTATCTTGTCGACACATGAGGAGCAAGCAAGCTAAGTGTTGTCAGCTAGTGTGGTAGTGACTTGGGAAATGAGGAAAAAAATAAGGGAAAGAGGGCAGTAGAAATGAGTACTATTACAGTGTGATGGGTACCGGTGGAAATTCACGGTAAGAGTTGTCTCAGAGCCTCGCCAGGCTAGAGAAGCAGCTGAGTGACAGCTGTCAGTAAGGTCCAGGTGTAAGTAGGGCGGTACCTGGAGATAGATATTATACACGGGACCACACTGTAGTATCATAATGTATATATATAGTAGACTGACTAGAGTATGTAACCGGTCAGTGTAGAGATTTACCATATAAGTGATCCAGCCTGTCGATTCTATATAATCGTTCAGACTGGATTAATGCCAGAGTACCGTAAAATTATAATCATTATAGGTAGGCAGTACATTTACTTGATGATATAATTTTCATTGATTATGTGAATGCCATTTCTATGTGTTCATTTGCATGTTTATGTACTGTGTTGTGTGGTAAGTCAGTAGATGTGATTGCTGACTGATTGCCTAATGATGTCATTAGCATGTGGGGTATGCTGACGGCATCATAATGTTGCAGGTTTGTGAAGTATTGTTTCAGTTTATACGATATTATTGCCCCAGGAACTGTGTTGAGGGTTTAAGGGACCTCTATGATTATTCAGGGGAATTCACAGTACTTAATGAGAGCAGGCAATTGATGGGTTAATTGCCTTGCTGAGGTAAGTGTGTGTGTTCACAGTAGTCCTTTGCAATGGGTGCAAGAAGATAAGGGGGGGCAGTAATATTAGTATACTCTTGTGTGTTGCACAACCGTGTGTCATTATTGTGTGGGCACAGTAATTAGCGAGTTGCAGTAGCCGCAACCATATGTGGGCAGTGCATTTGTGTTGTTGCATGCCATTGTAGTGTGACCTATGCAACACTGGGGTTACTTTGTTTCTTTAAGTTGTGTTGAGGACTTAAGGATTCAGTGAGTTAATTAAGTAAGGGGTAATTAACTGGATAAGGGGTGCACACTTAGTATTGTGGAGTGAGTGAGGGCTGTTAAGAGAGAACAGTGTTGAGCTTGAGTGAGATACGTCTCGGGAGCAATTAATTGTCCGTGTGACAAGTAATTGACCACTCTAGCTAATTATGTAATTAGCCTTCTCATCATGAATTCACGTAGTGGGAGAGGATCTGTCAGAGTCTGTCAGTATTTGTGTTAACGTAATATGCTCGAGACTAATTACCTTTCTGGGGTATAGCAATTAGTGGCTCAGGTTAATTAGTGGAGTAATTAACATTGGAGAGCTCCGATGACTCGGTAAAGCGAGGCCATGGAGCTATCATAAATCGTTGTATTAATCATATCCTGTCTGAGGACAGTGGATTATTGGCACATCTTGTTAATTAGGGTAATTAACTCCTTTCCAGTGAATTCACAATGTTTGATGAGACCTGCTTAGGCAGTGCGGAGTGAGACGTATTTATGGATGATTAATTATTGGTCCTGGTGACAGTTAATTAATTGCTCAGAATGAATTAGGGAATTAATTAGGGTAATTAACACTCACTAGTAATTTTTTGACACAGACTGTGGAGAAGCTACCAAGTTAGGGTAGGCTTAGTTAACGTAACTCAATGGGATGTAATTAGTGGTCCGTTTGAAATTAATTGAGAATTACTCACTGAATACTTGCAAGGAGTCAAGTGTGATGTTATATAAGTTTGAGTTATTGTTAACAAGAGAGACAAATGTTAATGATTAACGTAGAGTATCATCATGTTGTTGTCTAGTGTGAGACAATTGTTTGTGATTACCGTAGTACTTTGTTGCTGACTGCTGCGATCAGTCAATTAACGTAATTAATCACTTAAGGCAATTTCTTTTGGTTGTCGTCTGGTGACGAGAGTAGAGTCATCTAGGGATCTGTGGAGCTGTGTCCCAGAATCCCACCTTGCCTGTCTTTGTTACTGTTTACAACAGTGCAACTTCTTGTAGGGAGTTGCAAAGAGTGTTCTCACTGGGTTGTGATAGTGGGGGAGTCACTGTTGGACTACCCTCCTAGTTACGTGGGTCTCTCCTGGGGGGCGGGAGGACCCCTAAGTTTGTGATTATAGTAGCTGTCAGGGAAACCGAGACACTATTGATTGCATGCGTGTGTCTTTGTCTTCAGTGGATATCCTTCATTTGTTCAGTTAGTTCATGTTGTCAGCCCAAAGTGTCAGCAAGGTGGAGCCTGCTGTCACTTCTCGAGGGGCTGTTGAATAGCTGTGTTGCAAATGCAACTTGATGTACAATAACATAACCATTCGCTGTGGTGTAACTTAGTCTGTGATATTTTTCTTTGATTTGCAATATTGCGTCGTCAGTGGGCACACCTGTGTTCAGGTTAGTTCAGTATGCAGCCTCACAGCAAGGGTTGCTATTTAGCTGTTTGTCATCATGCCACTTGATGGACATTAACGTAATGTAAACTCGGTAATGTAGTAGTTAGTCTCTTGTTATTAATAAATTGTTATGTTATAGAAAACGGTCTTTGATGTCAATCCTTCAACCATATTATTCCACCATATTTCTGCATATTATTAAGTGTTGATGTGATCTTGATACGACGGCTGTTCTTGGGAATTCGAATTCCAATTCATAGCGCCACATCAAATATAAATATTTGATTGTGAGAACCCGTCGGTTACCCTTTATTAGTTTTAACGTCCTGTTTAACTAGGAGGAGCCAGCGGCCTATTGTGGACAGGTTTTCACCCCTGGTTGTGGAGGCCTGGCGGTTTGCTCCCGCTTTTCCTTTTTCTACTGGACTCATGCTTAACTGCCGTGAGCAGACTTTAAACTTGTAGTCCACCTCCTAAGGGAGGTAGGCGTAGAGAAAAATCACACAACCTCTTCACACCCACTGACGCCTTGGCTCTCCTTGTCCAATGTCAATAAGTGATAGAAGGGTCACATTTACTCTATTTTGATACTCATAAGTAAGTTAATTCAAATGAGATTTTTTTATGATATTAAAAGTCCAAAGACTAATGTATTTAAGAATAATTCCCAACAGAATAGCTGGTGAATTTATAGTACTATTTGGCAATGATATCTCGTTTTCTATTGACAGAAAATTCCACTAGAAGCTACATTTCTATGGGTTAACTTGTGTATACAACACAGCAGCAATATTATCAGCCTATTGTATGTAATATTATTAAATGGTGTCGAGTTTTCCGACATAAATGCTGTTTCCTCTGGCAGTTGGCGGGATGTCACGAAAGGGACCCGTACCCTCACCCTCTCCTTGTGTCTCAATCCTCCGATTCCATCCTCCGTTATGCTTCTTGGCTTCACTGTTCACATATTCTATGCCAGACAACCTAGGACGTGTTTTCGGTGCGCTCTTCATGGGCACCAGGCGGCGGGTCGCAATGGTGATGATGCGGCTCGAGTGAACTTGTTCCAGGAGAAGGACTTGCCTCTGCTGGAGGTGGTTCAGGCCCCCGGGTGTGGTGACGTGGATGCTGTGGCTCGGCCTGGGATGGGCCGAAGGTGTCGCCAATGTCCGTGTGTTCCCTGGCTGCTGGCGATGATGTAGTACACTGGTTTTGACCTTGGGAGCCTCAGCTGGCGCCTACTAGCAAGGATGATAATGGTGCACTGGAAGGTCTTCCAGTGCTCCACTAGCATCCTCGCTAGTACGCTCACACCGTTAAGTCTCCCAGCTCTCCGCTATCATCCTCGCTAGTACACACCAGCCAAGGCGTCCCAAAGTCAAAACCAGTGTACTGCATCATATACACATGTACTAAATTCACTGCACCAGTGGAGTGTATATAGTGGTAGTTATAATTAATTAATAATATGATTTTTATGCTCCCTTTTATTTATCTTACCTTAAAATCAGGCATTAAAGTTTCTGTTTAGTCGGAGCTGTCTTGGAATAATTGATGAGGATTTTTGTCGGACAGGAAGCCTATATATATAATATATATTATGTGTGTAAATCACGAAAAATAAACACGTGATTAAAAATGTGACAGTGTCAGACCACGTAGGAAAATTGAAACAGGAATTTCCTTAAGTACTTTCGTATATTAATACATCTTCAGAAGGAGTGACTCCTTCTGAAGATGTATTAATATTCGAAAGTACTTAAGGGGGAGTTTGGTTCCAAAAATGCAATAAATGAAAGCTCGTTCGATTTCAATCAAACTTTTGTTGACAAGTTTTATATGAAAAGTGTTTCATCTGGTCCAAGTTTCAGCATCGTAGCATAAATAGGAAAGGAGAAAAAAAATATTGAAGTAGGTGTGAAAATTATGCCAAAATGGTCAAAAACGATTATCAAACAAAAGTGTCAACTGAAATCATAGCTATGACTCTTTGCTATCACAATAGCATATATTAAGCAAATATTATAATTAGTTTAATTGGAAAAAAATTAAGTTAAAAAAAATTGATTAAAAAAAAAAAAAAAAAAAAAAAAAATCCAGACGATTTGCATAAAACTTACACACCTGACTGCACGTAAGCTTATCTGTAAGGATGCTAATTTTGGAGAAAATTGGTTGATGTCAACCTTAGCCACAGATTTTAGAACCTTAGACTTTATTATTTGCAGTTTTTTTTCAATTGACATAAACGTTTACAAAACTGCTTCATTTTTTATTCAATTTACATGAAACTTACACAGTATATGTGGAGGGCATGTCTCTACATTTGCTAGAGAGCTTTTTTCTCTAAGTTCATTTATTGATTTTATAATAGCAATAAACATGCCATATTGGCATAATTTTTTGGGGGAAATTTGAACATTTGTATTAGGAAAACTGAAGATGTTTTGGAAATTATCTAACTAACAATCCTTTTTTATATGCTAATGTGTCAGAAAAGTGTCACAGAATAATTATATCTGAAACGTGTGTTCTGAAGTGTAGACTTGAAAATGTGTAAAAAACGTTGAAAAAAAATCTTCCTTTCTATTTACGCTGCAGTACTGAAACTTGGGACAATTTCAGCACTTTTCATATACAACTAGTCAAAAAATATTGGTTGACATTGAACAACTTTTCCGAAACCACTCTATCGCCTCCTACTTAAGGAAATTCCTGTTTCAATTTTCCTCCGTGGTCTGACACTGTCACAATATATATTATATATATAATATGTCACAGTTATCACTAACTTATTTATAATATACTTGGGAAAAGTATTTAGTGTGTGTTTATTTCCTACATTAATATTACCTGAATAGTTTAAAACCATCCTAGTATGAACAAGCAAAATGTAATTGATTTATTTAATGGAATGTCTGAAGATGCCAATATTTAGTTAATAATATTTTGATCACTGTTAGTGATGAGTGCACACATGACCAGGTTAATGTTAGTTAATGCCCGCGTCTAACAGTAACCTCGGAGATAAATAAAGAGTTAATATAACGACTAAAATATTTATTGAGGGATTAAAGTACTATTAAACTTGGTAATATAGAGTGCTGGGTTACTGAAGCACTGACTTGAGTCAGGGGTCCAGCTGAGCCATAGTGCCAGTTAGACTTTTATTAAAAGGAGAATATGATATTCCAAAATGGTGGAGAAAAGCATGTCACTACAGATTAGCCACTTGTGTTAATTACTGAACCACGCTCGTCGTGACCATCAAGGCTTGCTCTTATAATGTTTTGTGGATAATGGGGGGGGGGGGAGGGAACTATTGAATCGACTTAAAGCAAAAAAAACATTGAAAATATCACCATGGTACACGCTTACCAAAGACTGTATTTAAAGAAAAAAAATGCTATTCATCAGACATATACGAAGTTCCGAGTAATGAATTTCTAGCTAAAGGATTTCTCAAAAAAAACTCTGAATAAAGAAGAGGCAACTTTTCTGAAACGAGAACAAAAACAGAAAGATCCTGAACGAGGAAACACCTGCCTCACACCTGGTACACACCAGGTACATAACAGCAGACTGACGTCAGCAGCAGTCATCCAACTGGTAAACGTACACGTGACTTTTTACAATATATAGCTCTCTCTCTCTCTCTCTCTCTCTCTCTCTCTCTCTCTCTCTCTCTCTCTCTCTCTCTCTCTCTCTCTCTCTCTTCACACACACACACACACACACAACACACACACACACACACACACACACACACACACACACACACACACACACACACACCACACACACACAAACACACACACACACACACACAGGGCCTTGTAGCCTGGTGGATAGCGCGAAGGACTCGTAATTCTGTGGCGTGGGTTCCATTCCCGCACGAGACAGAAACAAATGAGCAAAGTTTCTTTCACCCTGAATGCCCCTGTGACCTAGCAGTAAATAGGTACCTGGGAGTTAGTCAGCTGTCACGGGCTGCTTCCTGGGGTGTGTGTGTGTGTGTGTGGTGTGGGGGGAAGGGGGGGGAAGTTGTTAGTAAACAGTTGATTCACAGTTAAGAGGTGGGCCGAAAGAGCAAAGCTCAACCCCCGCAAATACAACTAGGTGAATACACACAACATTCAACCCCCAACAAACGGTTATTTTCTGAATTGAAATTGAAATTCTGAATTGCATCATTTCTGTGATGCAATGTTTTATCAATTTGCACTGATAATATTATAACATGGCTAAATAAGTCATGATTAAGTGGCAAGTTCGAATACAATGAAAAGCTGGAAAGTGATGGGAAAAACTCCATAGAAAAAGGAAGCCTTCACAAGAGTCGCTGGAATTCGGAAGAAGAACTGATTGATCTTAAAAGCAGGCACATTGGCCGACCCTGACTGGCCTATGAACAAAATCGATGCCATCCATGAGTCATCTTAACGTTTAGCGAGGCTAACCCAAAACCTCTGTCCTCGAATAATGAACAAACATTTTCGTTTAAAACTGAATTAAAAAACCTCAGTAGAGGACCTGTCTCTCCTGCCGGCCTAATTTCTCACTAACGTATCCTCCTGATGCATGTGCCTGGCAGTAGGTCATCTATAACACCTCCAGACACACATTGGCTGAGCGTCCTGGAACTCTTTCCACACGAGAACACGACACGGTCCCAGAACACCCACAGTAGGTGGGTGTAGTAGTATTCCATCCACCCCCATATGAAGGTGGGGGGTGTATTCTTCATTAAAATCTAGTAGGTGGAGAATACATTATACTATTTGCCTCCATGGGAAATCGTCTAGGAAATTTATGGAGACGGCGCAGGAAACATGTATCCTGCATGAGGATGCACTAATCCTGGGTGCATCCGGGGGGGGGGGGGGGGTGGGGGGGTGGGGGGGTGGGGGGGGGGGGTAGGGGGGGAGGGGGATGGAGGAAGGAGGGAACGACCCTCCCTGTGCTGTGCACAATAGTATATAATAGCGCATACATCTATTTAACACCGAGGTGTATGGAACCAATGGATAAAGCACCGTTATGTGTTTGAAATAACGATGGATAACACACGGCTCACAACTGATGACGTTCGAACCCTTCCGGAACAAGTGCTTCACTGACAAAATATGTTCGAACCACGACGCTGTAAATGCTTCACCCACGTGCTACAAATACAAATAATCGCCAACAGAACCTAAACACCTAACCTAACATAACCTATACCTATATATGCACAATATGCTAATATATTATAATATTAATTTATATTTGAGAAAATTCCTGTTTTGAATGAACTGCATGTTAAAATTTATGAATGCGTCTGTGGGGTCGACCGATGGATGTAACGAACTTCAGTCGAGGACGGGTTGCATTTTCGAGAGTTTTTAAATATAAACAATTAGCTAATAACCCTACGCACGACCAAAAATTGAGTTCAATTGTGTTATAATACAAAGTTTATTATTTATTTTCGTTATTGTAATGTTAGCGTTTGGTCTACAGTGTATTTTTTTGTCTTTGTTGTCTGCAATGTTGTTGTTGTTATTGATTTAGGGGCGACGACGATCGTGTCTGCAATGTTTATCAACTGACAAATGACAATAGTTAATGACACAGCGACTAAAATTCATTGGGGACTCCTGGTTCGACCTTGAAGCCGAGCGGACGTCTGGACACTTCCTCCGCCAGGGTGCCGCCTGATCACGTCTTGTATTCGTGTTTTGGCTTTGCTACTGCCGTTTGGCATCTCTTTTCAGCGGCCCGATTGTATGACGCTTGGCGCACATATCGCCTTGGGTCACAGGATTGTTGATAGTTTTTTTTTTTTTACGTGTTCTGGCTGGTTCTCCCGGCGGGATGACGTTGTTCGGGGGCCGGCTTGGCCGAGAGGTGCCGGGGGTTGGTGGGTCTTGGTGAGCTCCTGGTGTGCCCTCGGTGGTGGTGGGCGGCCGGCTTCTGCTCTGCCGGAGGACGCTGGATGACTTTTGCGTTTTGGTTGGGGGTCGAGTTTATGTTTTGCTACGTGATGTTCTCTGTGTGGGGCGGGGCCGGTGCTTGTCACCCTGAGGGACTCCTGGGGCTCCCAATCATCTGCCCGTTTGCTCGTTTATTTGCCGTATGGCATATTAGTTTCTAGTGATTGGCGTCACTCGTTTCGCGATTTTGGCTTGGGGTTTCACCTTTCCAGGCTTCGCGATTCACCCTTAACGGGTACGCCGTGGCGTTTCCGATCCCACGATCGTCGTCGCCCCTAAATCAACAACAACAGCAACTAACATTCATTGACACTCACATCTGGTTGGAGCAGACACTCCTCAGCTGATGTATGATTGTCGCCTATGCCCAATAGATGTCTCTGGCGGCATCCTCCATGCCAGTGACAATCTCGGCCT